CTGAACAGAACTGAGAACTGTCCTTTCCTCTCCACTTTTTTCACATTTCAATGCTCGAGACGGGTAAAAGGGAGGAGTTGACATGTAATTAATGTAACATATAAAGAAAAAAGGAAGTCTATGATGTAAAAAATATGTCATATGGCTTCATTAAAATTCCTTTAGTACACAGCAGGGAGATTTATGGGACTGGTAGATGGAAGAGTATAAAAGAAAGATAGATTATCTTCAGATTTGCTGGTGTCCACTTACGCTATAAATCACATGAGGCTTTCTCTAAATTGCATCTACTTCTTGGTCTTCCTAGTCTGTCCCATATACTTTGGGTCATCTGAAAAGGAAGAATATGCATCCTGATCTCTCTATATCCATATCTCTGTCTGGACTGACACATCGTACATTCATTGTGTGAATTCTTTCTCTGTATTTTAATTTTAATTACCATTTCTTCCAGTAAAGGTTAGTCTAAAGCACAGCTGGTCTGGAAGTACACAATGACACCCTTTTTCATCCAAAATTTTAAGTCAAGCAGCTGTGGGATTTTTCAAAGTATGTCTCAGTTTCTGCAACCATTCACAAGAATGGGTGGAAGAACATCTGAGGAAACATGTCTTAGGAAAATAGCTGTTGAGCCACAAAGGCCCTTAGAGTTTTCTTAGCTCCAGGTCTGGGTTCCCAGTCTTTCTGACATGGAGCCCACACTCAGAGGCCACATCAGCAATACTTAATTATAGGTACTTGGAACCATTCCTTTCCACTGGGTCTTACCCTGCAAAGCAGAGTAGCCACAACTAAAATGCCAATTCACAATGTCCCTAGCTCATGTCAATTCTCTACCTATGGCTAGAAATTGCATGGGAGAATACTAGTTAACTAGGGCTAAAAGTCAAGCCAGGACCCATTCTAACAATTTAATACAAGAGACAACTGAGTACTAGTGTCTGGGAAGGGCACTGTGTAATTTTATAATATAGATGAAGCCTGAGACACAGGTCCTGGATTTGCAGCAGAAAGCCTTGAAGTCCCAGTTTTCATGGGTTGAGCTGGTGCCTGTTGAAGCTTCTAGTTTACGGCATTTGTTTTTGTGAGCCAAAATGGTTGATTGGTTTGGGGTTTGGTTTGGTTTTTTTTTTCAGTAAAACTTTATAAAGAATCTGAAGAGCAGATATACTGAGAAGTACTAAAACACTTCTAGGGTAAGAATACTCTCTAGGCATCATTGCTTACACTTAAAAAGCTTGTTTAAAGGCAACTGTTGTCTTCAGGACCAGATTCTCAGATTGCTTTGGCAGTGAACCTATGAGCAAAGCCTCAAGACTAGCTGGTACTGCCTCTCCAAAAATGGAAGGTTCATGCACCAGAGTGTCCTTCGTCATTACTATACTGCTTAGAGGAGGTAGGCAGGCAGTAGTAGGAAATTGTGATAGGAGAAAGGTAGATCATGCTGTGTTGAATTGCGTTTTCAGACAAATTTATGGAGCCACTGAATACAATTGCTGCTCTCCCTAAATGGTTTGCGTATTCTTTTTTTTTAAGTCTTTTTTTTTTCTCATTAATTGCTATGCATTTTTCAGTATAATTAGAAATAAAAATACCATGTTCGAAATTGGATATATTCTACTGATGACACACAACCTTGAATAATATCTAGATCTCATACCTTAACTAACCTCTGCTGTGCTAACAGGAATAGATAGAACTAAAGATGCATTTCTTTTAATAAAGAAAGTAATCTTGTTTGATTCTGAAAGCACAGAGAGAGCAGGTTGCTGCATTACAATGTGCTGTTGTCTGCACAGTCACTTTCCTATTCATAGTGATTCCTTAATGTTTTGAATTTCAATGTTGAATTTATCTTAATGTTGATGTCTAACTGAACGTTTGCAGTACATGATCAGAGAAAATAATGTGAGAGTCCCTGGGCTGCTCCATTCCCATATAGAAACAATGTGAATGTCTGTGTCCTTTGTCAAGTTGTCTGGTTCATACTCAGGTACAAGTGCAGTAGCTAATTTTACAGAATAAGGAGTGATATCTCTCTGCATTCCTTGGGGTGGAATCATTAGTGCAGGTAAATCTCTGTGCTGCAGCCAACAAATTTATTTGACACACAGTTTATGACCTAGTAGATGTAAATGTCTGCTGTGAAACTAATGATGGATGAAGCAAGAGAACAAGTTATCTCACAAGATTTCCAGTTGGGCTAGAAATAATCTATCCTGTGAAATGTTGACAAGTTCACTTCTAATCTTCGTTAGAAAATTGAGGTTGGAGTAGATAGTGTTGAAAAATAATGGGGTGAAAATCTGTTCTAACTTTTCAAACCATTTCCTATATCCATTCTTAACTTACTACAAGGTGCTTAGGGAGTTGCAGTGCTATTCAATCACTTTCATATTAACAGAAAAGCCCCCTGTGCACAGCTTTTCTATGAACTATTTCCTGTGTTAAAGAGAAATTCTGGCTATTACTGTCTGTATAACATAGTTCACTGTTTTCTGCTAGTACATTTAGAGAGCTATTTAAGTGCGAGGAACTCTTAACTGATTCTGAACAGCTTTACGGCTGTGTTTTCTTACAGTGTTACCTTTCTGGCAGTATTTGATTAAAATAAAGGGAACACATAACAAACAGCCCTTAGTCTTCTACGCTACTTGTCTTTGTTAAAAGTGGGTGTTGTAGAGCTGCAAATGTAGGTCTACAAGAATAATCATCAAGATAGTACTGACCTGTTCTGGAAGGATGTGAAAAAGTCTTTAAAGTCCTTTAATGTTCATATGCCTAAGAACAGTGATCTGGGCTGTAGCTCTGAAAGAGAAGCAGATCAGAGACATGAAAAATACGTGAAGATGAATCACACAGCCTCAGGTATTTCCCAAGAACAGATTATAATTGTACTTTTTTTTCCTGAAATCTGACCTAGTTGTAATAGGAGATGGTGAAAGTCAATATGGTCAATGACCTTAAAGCTGACATATTAAAATAGTGTGGAAATGTCTAATTATCATAAAGGTCACAGGATAAAAATTTTGTTCCAATTCTGTTATTTCCAGGAACCAATGGAAATGCAGCACAGCTATCAAAATTCCTCAGTGGCTTTCAGAAATGCTTGACGTTTATTCTGTTGGGTCAACATTAGTAGAATTTATATTTCTTTAAATTAGGGAATCATAGCTGCATTTTTAACAATCATGGAAGAGGAAGATGAATATATATTTAATACAGCACTTGCTTAAAATTAAAAGCAGGAAAGCATTTCAAGAAGGTATGAAAACTGTCTCCAATATTAATCCAACTTCAGAGAAATAAGTAAAACAAGAAACTTAATATTTTATGGAAAATTATGAATTAAGAGTAATACAGCTCCTACAAAAGGAACTACAACCAGATTTAATTCCAAAATGCTTTATATGGAGAAAATTTTACCAAAAAGTGTATTTTATATGAAATAGTTCTGCACAAAGACTTTTCATTTCAGGACCTTTTTTAATTTTAAATAAATGTTGGTTTAGCTCAAAATATTAAAATTAAATGGAAAATATGTTTAAATTTTTTTTAAATGTTTGAATTATGAAATTTCCAATGGAAAAATATTTTCTGTCAAAAAATTGGAGGGATGCACATTTTCAATGTTTCTGATTGTAAAAAAAAGTCAGATGGATTATTTTTTCCACTTTGTGTGAAATAAAAGTATCCAGCCAGTAAGTCTCAGGCTTTTACTGCAGCTTTTGAAGTCAAGAATAGCCTAAATAAAAATGTCTGGGCTTTTAGCATCACTGCACTGGGCAGTGATGTTTCCTCATTCTATACCTCAGCTTTCTACTTCTCTTTTCCGTCCACTACACTCAATTTAAGGTTAAACATAGACCTTACCAAGAACATGTGCTTCCTTGAAAGTCTTGATCATCAGGTGATTCCACGGTAAATGGGATACATTGTTCTTTCACAGCAAATTTACACTGAAATAACTTTGATGATTTTGTTGAATGTTACTCTTTTGTATATTAGTGAAACTGAGGAGAGATTTAGCTGTAGCATCACTTAGATTGCAGGAAATTTGTTCCTTAATCAGAAGTTTTACTTTATCAGTGTGGTTTGTTGTAATGTCGACTTTGCAACATTCAGTCGGGGGGGGGAGCTTCTTAATATAGGTTTGTGTTTATATAGACAGCTTCCTAGGCTCGAGCAAGATATTCTCTACAGAAGGGTCTGTGCTTCTTTCTCCATGGGTAACTGTTACAAGCAATCAAAATGGTGGACATGTATTTCCTGGTATGTCTTTGAGTATGATTCAAAAGAACAGAGTAATTTGAGAACCAGCAAGACTAATGTCTATATAAATTTCACATATTTTTAAATTTTAAAAAGTGTGTACAAAGTTTCTGGTGTTATTGAGAATTATAAGTACCTGCCTAAGATAAAGTATGTGCAAACCCAGGTTTTCTCTTTCTCCATACAATTTTTAAAGCCAGTGTGGTTTTATACTCAGAATCAAAAAAAAAAAAAAAAGTATTTGAGGTATAGATACTCTCATTTGCTTTTGAAAACTCTCTTTTGGAGTGGATAGTGAAGTGGCAGTTAAAGTTCAGTGTGCACTTCTCTAGATCCTAAATGGGAACTCTTCAGAACCATTATAGCCCTCCACAACAGAATTTGACTTATGATCATAGTTTGTCTCTACATCTAAGTTACCATTCAAGTCTCCTTCTACAATAGAAATACATTATTGGCTTCAGCTTCCTGAGTGGAAAGTCATATATGTTTAAAAAATATCAGTTACCAATATCTGACATTTTGCCTAAATCCTAATGCATTACAGTAAGAATTTTTAGGAAAGTTTTATAGCATCAATTCAGAAGTGGTAAAAACTAGATACGTGTTTTAGGTATGCTGTCCATTTTCACTGTCTATTATTCAATTTCAGTGTCTTGAAGGTGCCTTTCTAAACTCACTCTAACTTCCAGGGATTTGGCTTACTAATATAAAATGTTTGTTTTCAGATATCAACATGGCAGGAGAACCAAAACCATACAGACCAAAACCTGGGAACAAGCGGCCACTTTCAGCACTTTACAGGTAAGTGAGATTTCATCTTAACTTACTAAAGTTCAATTTTTATTAGAAAAATTATGGCAACCTGAAAAGTATCTACCAATGTCACTGTGTAGCCCATGAACAAGACAAAGGGATTTTTTTCCGTTCACTCTTTGACATTTGTATGAAATATAATCAAGCTCCTTTATACAACAAAAAGTTTTGATTGTGAGTAAAAGAGCCAGTATTGTAGTGTCTGACACTGCCTGTTGACTCACTCCAGAGCAAAATGTTCTAACTTCCGGAGATGAAGACTGTCCATACGATGCATATCTTAAAAACTCAAGTTATGCCAACTAGGATTAAGTCCAGCAAACAAAATTCCTGACTGATAATCAAATGCAATGATCACAATACACACATAATGCCCCTCTTTTAGTTGGAAACAAACAGCAGAGTTTCTGTTGCTGTAAAAAAATAAAATACTTAGGAAATTTAAATTATAATACAGGCATTCAGAAGAATAGATAAAACTAAATCAGTCGGATCAGAATTTTATTTCTTAGTGAAAATACTGAGTTTTACTGAGGCCAAAAAGCTGGTCTCTGCCTTGTCAGTATTCACATCATGGATGTTATTCGCCAATGCAAAAACAATGCAAAGGAAAGAACTGTAGCTTTAAACTGTAAGAGGTATTACATATAGAGTCTTGCTATACTAAAAAGCTATTTGAAAAGATGTTTGACATCCTTTAAGAAGAAGTAGCAGAACGCCATCGCCTTGCACAGGTTTTGTTCCAGGGATGCTAAAGACACTGGGGTTGTGCTTGGTGAACGTTAGCTTCTGTAAGACCCTACCCACGTGCTCAGTGTGGAATTCAAGGTTTGAACTTAAATATGTGTTGCATTAAAAAGATGTTTATTTATTTGTTTATGCAGTAGTAATTTAATTTTCCCTCCACACTTCCCTTTTTCTTTTTCTGAAGTGAAAATGAAAGTGCAGGAGAAGAGAAACAGACTTTACGCCCATATAAAAGTGTGATGTTTAACAAAATCATAATGAAGTACACAATAAAATTATAAATCTGTCATTTACTAAACCTACTGACAAAAAGACTGGTATGGTGATTTGTGAAGTATTTATTAATGTCTCCACTTCTACTACAATCTATAATTTTTTTGTTCTTTTTTGTAAATTGAGTACTATTCCAATTTTTGAACCTTATGTTTTGTTGCTTGGCTATGGCCTTGTTCTTGTGTCTCTTTTATTTGCAGGGTTCAGTGAAATAACTAATAATTTCAGAGCAACAGAACTGCTTTCTCATTGATTTCTGTGTCAAGGGTTGGAAAAAACTTCTAACAAGACTGGACTTCTTCCTCAGATGTTCAGGACGGCATTGCTAGTGCCTTTCTCCTATTCCCCCATGCCTTTTTCCATACAGCTTGTACAAACCTGAAGAAACCCTCACCTTTTTTTTCAAAATCAATTAAGTTTAGTGAAGCACTCCAGATTGTTAAGGGGATTGACAGACAGACATGCACACATGCATTTCTGCTCAATAAACCTCACTTCTCATCTCCAGATCCATGAAAGGACTTAGGGCTGATTTCTACTGTGGCTGAAATGCAGATAGACTGGCTCTGAGAACAGCAGCTCAGTGATGAAATCAAAGACACTTGAGCAGGACTTTTTCAAGCCTGGTCTGGCCTGAAAGCTTCAGATGGAAATTCAAGGGTGGGATCTCAGAATGAGACAGGCAGGAGTATTTTAGATCTGAGCCTGTGTGCTGCATAATAGTAATGTGAAGTTTTATCATACAGTTGCCCTTAGCTGAAGTGATAGGAATATTATCTTTGGAGAAGAGAACCCCTGTTTTATTATTACTGTCAACTGCAAGTTGTTAAACTCTGTAGGTGTTACTGGTAACCATGGTCTACTGTGTCCCTGTGTTAGTACTTCAAAAGATCTTTGAACATGTTCTGTGGTTTCTGGCATTTATATGCACCTCCATGTCTGACCTTCTGAATGATTTCTCATAAATACTTGTTCTACAGACAAGACAGAGATAAGAGAGAGACCTGTGGAAAGTTCTGAGGGAACTTTAAAGAGAAAAAAGGTATTAGATTGTGTCCTTTCATGGATCTAGTACAGACTATTTCCCTAGAAAATTATGAGAAGTTTTTTGAGCAACCAACAGAAGACTTCATCTGATAGTAATGGAGAACTTTCATTATCTCAGTATCTGTTAGCATATCTATATGTGAGCGGATCAATGGTTTATAAAGTTCTTGACAATGTTGAGAACATTTACTTGTTTCAAAACATTGTACTGGGTCTGGCTGGGATGGAGTTAACTTTCTTCATAGGATCCCATATGGTGCTGTGTTTTGGATTTGTTACTAAAACACACCAATGTTTTGGCTGTTGCTGAACAGTGTTTGCACAGCCTCAAGGCTTTCTCTCTTTCCTATTCTGCTTTCCCAATGAATAGGCTGAGGGTGGGCAATACAGCTGAGACAGCTGACCCAAACTGGCCAAAGGGATATTCTATATCATATAACATCATGCTCAGAAATAAAAACTGGGGAGTTTTTCCCTTCCAAAATAGCTGTTGCTTGGAGACTGCCTGGGCTGCTTGTGGGAGGTGGAAAGTAATTGCCTTTGCATCACTTGTTTTTTTTTCCCTCCTTCCTTCCCTTACTAAACTGCATTTATCTCAGCCCATGAGGGTTTTTCACTTTTGCTCTTCCTATTCTCTCCTTCATCCCAATGGGGGGACAGATAGTGACTGTGTGGCTGCTTAGCTGCTGGCCAAGGTCAACCCACAAGATGGAGAAAGTTAAGAGGGAAGTGGTTACTTTACATTTGATTTTGACTAAGAGAGGCATTGCTTAAAAATTTTATTAATACACAATATTCACTGTGAAAAGGGAGGACTGAGAGCAGTAGAAATAGGATAATGGATTTCAGAGAGGACAGACTTCAATGAGTTCAGAGAATGGTAAGTAGAATCTCTTGGAAAGAAATTTTAGGGACAAAAGGAGTGCAAAAAATCTTGCGTTGACTGTGCTTAAGGTAGAACAGAAAATTATCCTGAAGCAGAAGTAGAATAAAGAAATAATACAGCAGCATCAAGTTGCTTTAACATCCTGAAAAGTGAAAAGGAATTGTACAAAATGTGGAATCAAAACCCCATGACTGGAAGTGAGTAGAAAAGAACAGCAGAGTCATCGAACAGGACGTCAGAAAGGCTAAGGCACGTAACAGTATAAAAGACAACAAAAAGCTTGTCATTAAAGTAACTTCCTCTGCTTTTTTATACTGCTGTTACTTAGCGGGACAGGAGAGCAGATAGTAGATGATACAGAAAAGGCTCCTTTTGCTTTAGCCAAAGAGGTTAGTTGACCAGCTATTAAAGAAAATAAATTTTTCCAGAGGGTATGGGATAAAAGAATTGGCTAACCAGTATTTGAATAAGTGAATTCAATGGAAATGGAATGATGAGATTCATCCTAGAGTGTTTAAAAGACTAGCTGAATCTGTGTGTGGACTGTTAGTGATTGTTTTCAAAAACTTATGGAGGTCATATAAGGTAGAAAACCAGTGGGCATGGACAGGCGTTATGCCTATTTTTAAGAAGAGGAGGACCCAGGAAATTATCAGGTGAGCCCAGCTTTAATTCTCAGAAATGTACTAGAACAAATTATTAAACAATCAGTTTATCAACACCTAGAGGATAATAAGACGGTAAAAAAAATCCATCATAGAATTATCGGGAGCAAATTATGTTGAAGCAATATAATTTCCTTCTCTGACAAGATAGCCGATTTAGTGGATAAAGAGGAAACAGTAGATGTGCTATATGGTTATTTAAACAAGCTTTGACACTTATCACATGTGGTGTTTTCATAAGCATATTCAGGAAACTTGGCTAGAAGAAACAGTCTTAAGGTAGACATCCAATGGTAAAACAGTGACTATATACAACATAGTATTAAGGATAACAACTACTGTTTGTTCAGTCTCCTTTGTTACAGATTTTTAAAGAGTATTTTTGGATATTTGAGACACATTTAAGAACAGTTTTCAGGTAAGCAAGCAGGAGCGCTGCACAGGGTTGCATGGTTTTATTTATTGTGAAGTGCTTGAGGCTTCAAAATTGTTCAAAGTACTCTGCATCTCTGAAGAGAAACCTGCATCACATTTATAGCTGGATATGCACATGAGTAATTAATACAGAGAAACCATTGTCCTATGATGTATTATACCCACGTAACTTGCTTACATGTTCAAGTCATTAGATCCACTTTTGCCTGGAATGGTATAAGAATAGTTGTTCAGTTCAGGATCTACATTTGGTTGTTTATCCTTTATAGTTTTATAAACTGTATGGAAATAATCTCATTTAATTTCACCTCTGTGAAATTGAGCATGAGCCTAAATGTGAGACGCATATTTTTTCTTAGCTATAGGAATAACTAGATGCAAGACAGATAAGAATATATCATTTCTTCTTTGACTTACACATGCAGTAATTCACATATCCAGACTCTCCTTTGTTCTCCAGTTTATTATTCCACTTATACTTCTTTTCACATCTTTTTAATGCTAGCATTCCTGGTATAGTTCATAGAAAAAAGGCTGCAATTAAAAGTATACAGAGAATTTAAAAGGCATCATGGATCTATTGAAGTCAGCAAAATGTTTTGCCATTCACTGGACTAGAATTTACTTCCACTTCTTTTTCTTCTCTCTTAAATGTACTTTAATACCCTAATTCCTACCAGCTGAAGATCCCATCACAGCCTTTGACTGCTGGAGAGCAGACTTGCACTGCTTGGAATAATTCCATGGGACACTGTCCCAGAGAGAAGAGGGGGCCAGGAGAGCTGGCTGATTTCCAAGGGTCACCTCCTTCAAGTTCAAGAACAGTTCATCCTGATGAACAAGAAACCAAGTAAAGGTAGCAGGTGGCCTACAGAGACAAACAAGGAGCTCCTGAAAAAAATAAAACCTAAAAAAGAGGCATAAAAAGGTGAAAG